AGACACTACAACATTATACTTAAAGTATACTTATTTTTGGTAAGTTTATACACTCAAAAAGACACTACAACATTATACTTAAAGTATACTTTTTTATAAATAAATATGAAATAGCTGTTTTTTAAAAAAGAAATGAATAAACTATAACAAACTGCTCATGAGGAAATGGGGTGAGTTGAGTGTTTTAATACACTGTGTCTTTAACCTAAAGCACTACAATACAAATGGGCACATTTTAAATACATACTATATATGTATGTGTGTGATTGGGGTGGTGTCTGTGGTAAATATTATGTTTCTGCTAAATTTAGAGTAAACTTGTATTCTGTGTGTGTGAACAGGAAGCTTGAAAGCAGGAACTGACAATAGTCTAGTCTGTAGAAAAATTAAAGAAGGAAGAAAAGTGGTGTGTGACAAGAAAGAAGAAGAAACAGTTTGTCTGGAGCTGCTTACAGTTTCAGCCTGTAACCTGTTAGAAGTTCTTCTTCTAAGCAGAGACACATCATCAGTGTTGGACGTCAGGATTGGACACACTTTACTCCTTCGAGTGCTGGCTTTACTGTGTAAGTGCATCCCTTTGTTTCTTTAAAGGGTGAGGATCAAGTAAAACATTTACAGAGAAGGTCATAAATTCTGAATTTTTATGTGAATTTTACAAAAGAAAGAATTTGAGCTTATTTGGCCTTTTTTATTTCCCCCAAAATGTTTATTCTTCTCCCTGTAGGGGTTGCCTCTTCCGATCGTTGACCTTCATCTTATTCTATCCCAGCATCTGTCTTTGTTGCACCAACCCTCTATTTGTCTTCCTTCAATACATCCAACATTCTTGGTGGTCTTCCTCTTTTCTTTGGCAGCATCATATCCAACATTGTTTGTCAAATATCAACTTGATCTGTTTCTCTGATGAACTCGTTTCAAGTCTTATGTATGTTGGTCACTGCCAATAAAAAATTCAACATCTTCTTCTCTGACACCTTCAGTTCCTCGTCTTGTTTTATTTCTTAGTGTTACTTTACAAATCACACGTTATAGCAGGTCCCACCACCATCTTGTAAATTTAGCTTTTTCCTCCTGCAGCTCTCTTTCTGTTACGAATCACCCCAAACACCCGTCCCCATCGGCTGCTCTCTCTTCTTCACCTCGCTTGTCTCTAAACCCATCCACCTTGAGTACCTCCACTTTTTGAAGCTTCTCTGTTAAACCTGTCTCTATTTCACTCAAATATATGGATTATATATTTTTTAATTTTTCTCTTCAGTTACCTTTTTTAAATCCCTAAATTTATGTAATATCTTTTTCATTTTAGTGTCCACTTTTCCTCACAAAGCTGTTCAAGGTAACTGATTCATATCTTTTTCTCAACTGTTTATACGTATGTTACAAAATAAGCAGTGTTCGTTACCCTTTACCTGTTCAGATCTAATACCAGATAATAATAATGACATGTGAATGTTTGAGGGAGCCATACAAAACCATTCGGACACAGCTGTGGACTGTCTAACTTTTTAATGTGCCTTCAACTGGCACCAGCCAAACAGTGCTTAGAAACCCAGAAACACACACCAAGTAACAACCTTCTTCACGTCCTCCACCTCATAACTTATATTAAAGGGGCAGGCTGTCTCTACATGGAATCAGGATGTAATACATCACTCTCACCCTAATGGTTCATCACAGTTCTTATTTATGTGTTGTTTTTAAATCAGATATGTATCAGACTAAAAGCCTTCTGAGTCTGTCAGACCCTTCTCAAAAGCCCCACACAACTCAGTCTGCACATAAAATCATTAATTAAGTCAGGGATAACCAAATTATAGAACTATTTTACTGTTCACCTAATAAAAGACTATACAATGTATAATGTCTTGATAAATCACTAGTAAACACCGCAATCAATTGCTTCAAGTAGGTTGATGAAACATTTCCTTTCTTGGAATGTGTTAATACCATGAAAATGTGGGAGATGATGTCATTACTTGTGTGTGGTTTTATTTATCTGCCTCTGTTTATCTTAAGGTCCTGTCACACTATAACAACTTGTGTTGATGCAAGAAAAAAATAGCAAACACACTGGTGTAAGTCACAAAGTTAGGTTTTGAACAAGTTAGCAGAACGTGCAGCAGAGACAGAGTAAAAGTGTCTTCCCTGAGTTCAGGTACAGAACATGCTTTCTGAAACAGACCCCTGCTCATCATCCATCAGCAACCCTGAGCTAACAAGCTGTGTGTTTTTCTTGGATGTGTTGAAGGACTGGATTTAAATAGCATGACAAAACATAGCATTCATGTTAAAGCCAAACAGTATTATCAGCGTAGCTCAGAGAACAATCGCTGGTAAGACAAAGTTAGCTTTAATCAGAAAGAAAAGTACCACCTACTGTTCTTTTTGCAACTTCAAATGTCGAACAAAGTTGGAAGTTGTTTCACCAAATTATTCGATGAACCAGTTGGCAGATTTAAAGAAAACCCTCAGAAAATAATTATTAGGTGTTCATCTATAATTTATAAATTAATGCCTTTTATTTGTTGTTATAGGATTATTGCATTTTGTAGAACACATGTAAATATCTAATGCTGTAATGGACCTTTAATCGTTTTGTTCTTCACAGAACAGCAAAGAAACCACAGCTGTTTGTGTTTACATAAAAAGAGACATTTTAGATTTTTAGTCTGAGAGGCATTGAAGATATTATTTTGACAAATAACTGTATTCACTGTTAACAAACTAAACTTAACATGACATGTTTTCATTCTGATTAATAGTTTCTCCTGCAGATAAACCTGAGTCCATCCTGACTGTGTCTCCATCATGGCTGAGTCCTGGAGCCTCAGTGACTCTGAGCTGTGAGGTTAAACCTCCGTCTGCAGGATGGAGGTTCTACTGGTATAAAGCTGTTCCTGCTAAATACTACTACAGATATGAGCTGCTGCCTGACAGCATCAATGGAACTGAACAGAACTCCTACATCATCCATGGACAGACAAAGACAGCAGGATATTTATGTAGAGCTGGAGGAGGAAACCCAGAATATTACTCTTATTACAGTAGAACTAAGTTTGTCTGGTCTTCAGGTCAGTTCTGTTTATKTTCTAACAGTGTTCATGTGTTTTCTCATCAGCTTGATTAGTGCCTGTTTTAAATTTTCTGTATCTTGATTTGCGTTTTATAAAATAACAGAATGTGATTTCAAAAGTTAAATCAAAGCAGCAGAATTTGGATTTTCTGTTTACATTGAACAGCTAGTAAAACTCATTTTATAGTAGATAATCTTTGTTTGTACAACACATGGGCATAATTTGCAGTGTGGGTTAGATGGGCCATGACCCCTGAAATAATTTGATCCAGTCAATATCCCCCCACCCCCCGCCCCATGATGTCTTTGGGTAACTTCAACCCAATTTCAAATTTTACATTGTCATACATGTACATGCAAAATTGATAACATGCAAGAATTTAGTCTGCTTTTGTCACATTATGGCTGTATTTGTTAAATCATATGTTTTACATACATACTCTTTGAAAATTGAGAAATTTAGTTATGTTGTATAATACAAGAATAAATAAATAGAGAAAGAGAAATTCTTAATCCCCACTGCCTCCTATGTGGTTCTGGTAAAAATAAAAATACTGTTGTTTAATTAGGACTTGTCATATTTAGGTTTTTGCAGCGTGTTGTAGTGGCAACTTGTTTTCCTTATATGTAATCCTTCATGGCAGAAAGTGTTTCTAAGCAAACTAAACACAGGTTTCTCTTGAAATTCTGTGAACAGATAGTCTACCTCCCATGATTTTATCTTTCCTCCATTCGTAGCCATGGTAATTTTTTCGTCTGTGGTAGAGAAGACGTGCATGAGGTGGTGTCTAAGAGATGACATCTAGTGGCAAAATTTGTCATTACAACCAGTTCAGTGCCACTGAGACACTTTACTACATTTATTATTTTTGTCATTTTCAAAAATTGATCAAAGAGCTACCTTAAGTGTTTTGAATGTTTTTGCATTTTTAAAGTTTTTTTAGGGGTTAGGGATTTGGGGTGGGGGTGGGGTGAAGGG